GTCGAATCGTACGGTGTCGAATAATTTGGTGTCGAATAAATCTGTGTCGAATCGAGCGGTGTCGAATCGTACTGTGGTCAAACGGAACCCGCCCTTGCGTACGTATGCGTTCTCGTTCCTCTTCTCTATCGCTCCTTGTGTTCCACCGTTGACTGTTCGCCGTCCTTGTTTTACCACTGTTGTCCACGTGGTCGTATCGCTTTCCTCTCGCTCTTCTTCTCTCTCTCTCTCTTTCTCTCTTTTTGCTGGNGTTGTCGTGCCCTTTGCTTTTGCACGGAGCTCGCCCATCAATTGTGCGACACACTCTTGCAGTCCCTGCAGTACTCGCGCCATTTCCTCTACACGGGTCTCCAAACTGGGATTTGGTGTAGGGTTCTCCTTGCTTGTTGACGGTATCTGTTTCTTTGCCAATGTTATCCTCGGCTCTCTTGTTCGCTTCTCTCGTTGTGGTAGTGGTGCAGGAGTTTTAAATCCTGTTTTTACAACCTCGACCGATGTAATTACCGGCCCTTTTTTGGGAGNATTCGACTCCGTTACTTTATCTTTATCGCTCTCAGACGTCCTCGTTGTTTTATTCTCCGTGATGCTTTTATTCGGTGTTTTGGTCATACCCTCAAAATTTTTTCGTATTATTTCCACGTTGAGATTCGCNTTTTCTTGCTCTAACGTTCTTATTCTCTCCTTTAACTGTTGCATTTCACGGTCTTTACTAGCTCGAATTTCTTCGATCTGTGCCTTCATATTGCGANATTCTGCATTTAGCGATATTGCTTCACATTCCGTGCTCGCAGCCTCCAGTCGTCGTCGAACTTGCGTTTCGTCCCCCACATCCAGGGCCTGCTGCACGAGCGCGTCGGATTGTGCCTCTAACTTCTCCAACGCCGTCCTTATGTACTTTCGTGTCGTACCTTTCAGCCTCTTACTAATTCTTTCGCACNTAGCAATTTCCTTCAGTTGTTTCTTCATAGAGGCATATATATTTTGTGGAGGTGCATCCGCGTAACTACGAAACGGGCTGATGGGTCTCTCCTCTCCTTCATCGCTGTCCTTTGAGGATCCGCCCACCGGGTCCCGTCCGCTTGCCGGCCGTTTGCTTGTTTTTGGGATNTTCATTTTCCTCCGTCTGTCACTATCGGGTATGGCAAAACTNATTTCCCCGCTTTCTTTTAGGAAAGGTTTTGCGGCCTTACTGACCAGGCCCAANCTTTGCGCTGCGCTTGTACTAGCCCAACTGGCCGAAGAGTCCTGTATCTCCATATCCGAAGAATCATCATCCGAAAATACTTGTGGCTTCCTCCACAATTTCGTTGTTCTCTCTCTCTCTCTCTCTCCGCTCCGCTCTTCCATCGCTGAATCCTCGTCCTCATCCGGAATGACGATGGTCTCTTCCGCGTTGCTAGCCGTGGCCCCNTCCTTTTCAGCAGTAGCATCGGTGGTTGCGTCGCCTGCCGTACACGGCGCAACCAACCCTTCGTTTGATGACGACGGCCCAGGGGCAGGGTCNGAACCCCCGAGTCGCCGGGACCTAGGCGTCCGTTCGCCTTGGTTCGGTATGGTATCTTCGTCCTCTAGTGTACAGTCCATTTTGCTGCTGGGGTGGTTTTATTTCGGAGTTTCCTCTCCTAGGACGGTTCCCGGCCAAAGGTAACGAGCCCGTCCTGCCCGGGTTTGGAGTCAGGGTTTTCCTTCCCTTAGTCCAGTGGCCGACCCGAAAGCGCCTCTCGGAGCTGGACACCCCGGATTTGTAGTCAGGGTTTACTCCCCTAGTCCGATTGCGCCGTGGCTGACGGAGTCGGACGCCCCGGATTTGCAGTCAGGGTTTACTCCCCTATCCCAGTTGCACCGGCAAAAAGTGCTAAGCGAGGCTAAGATCCCCCGGTTTTTGTTCGAGGTTTTCCTTCCTCTATTTCCTCTCTTAGTACAGAAGCTCCGCGAAGGGCCTTCCTGGCATGGGTGACCCTGCCAGGGAATCAAAGGATTCCCCGCCAGTATAGCCCCCTCGCTTCACCGCTCCTAAGCCCGGACACCACGACAAGGTG